TTACAGACAAAATTGTCAGGGAACATTTTGTATACATAGGTGTCAGTTTTTCTGACTTTCTGATAATTGAGAACTTTTGTGTCTACGTTTATGTTTTTGTATTAGTGTGTGCGTGTGTGTGCGCTTGAATCACTTTGAATGCACTGACTTCCAGTAGGTAAAACAAGAGTTAGTATGTAATGAAACTGATATTTTAGGGAACACGAGAAATAACTGTAATAATTTTGGTCTCAACAAAAAGAAATATTTCTTTTAACAGACTTGACCTTGTGACAAAAACTTTCAAAAGTAAAAAATGGGGTTCCTGCAAGATAACACTCTTGTTTGCAATCTCTAGCTGCAACTGTCTGTAGTATTATCTCAAGAGTTTTGTCCATTCTCGTCTTAATTAACATTTATGTCTACCCCGGGGCAGTGCCACTGACTGTAGTGTCTTTAGGCCATTCCCAAAGGGGGGACATTTCTCGTTCAAGCACAGTAGAATTGTAAATGGGCTGATTCATGTCACGCTCATAACTGTGCCTGATCTACAACAGGGAACTGCTGCTTTTTCTTTCCTAATCCTTACTATTGTCATTTTCCTCTACTTCTTTTGTATGTTTGTCACACTCTTGTGACCTGCTATTTCCGGGGTGCCTTGATAGTTGAAGCAGACCTTGTGCTGTTGAAGCTAGAGAGGTTAGCAGAGTAAGTCTGATTCCCTGTATAGACTTCTCTGTTGACACCCACCCCATGGCGCTCTATGACCTTATGCAGTTGCGAGCACCGTAAAACCCTCTACTATAATAAAAATAAATAACGTTTATGTGTGGCAACATGACAAACAAAATGAGTTGCTTGTCGCGTTTAGATGTTTTGAGATGTTGTGCAAAACCTTCATTTTCTAAAAACCGTGCGTTTCTGATTCCCAACTTTTAAGCAACTGCAACTTTGGAACCAAAGTAGTGAGACTTATACCATTCAGAGCTTGAACCGAAGTATAACATCCATAGCGTTATATGGTCAGAATGCAACATGCGACTCATTTTGTCATGTCTATTATTTATTATTATTATTACTCAGAAGACTTTGTGTTTAATCATGTGCAAGATCTGATAATTGCGTTACTTACTCATTACTTAAATACTTTATTTATATTGCTGGGAAGGCAGCTCCATCTGACATTTTTGTACACCGAGCTTTATTTTACATTGATGTCTTACTCATTGTGCATTTAACATTTAAATCAACGTTATGTATATATATATATATATCTTATCCGGAACATTTTAATTGATGTTATGTATATATATCTTATCCGGAACATTTTAATTGATGTTATGTATATATATATCTTATCCAAAACAAACACTGTCAACATTCCGGATATATATATATATATATATCTTATCCGGAACATTTTAATTGATGTTATGTATATATATCTTATCCGGAATGTTGACAGTGTTTGTTTTGATGTCATATACCAATGTGATTGAAGCTTGTCTTTTTATCAGTGTATGTGTACTTTGTATATCTTATACAGAAAAATAAAGTAATAATGATTTAATTGTTTATGTATTATCTATCTGTTCTGCTGTTTAAGTATTATGCAGTGAGTGAAAAAAAACCCTCTAATGGGCCCTATGGTAAGGGTTTTTACTCCCCTTTCGACTCCTTTCTTGTTATCTCTTCATTGTAGTTGAGAAAGTGTACACTTCACAATTTGTGGATGGTTGGTGGGTGCCCTGGTGTAGTTTGCACCTTCTTCCCTATCGAACAGATATCATCCTTATCTCTCCTTCTTCTCTTTGTATGTCACTCTCTACTTTAGTACATTTTGTAATACATCTAATCTTTGGTGCTTTATTATATGACCTATGGTTTGTATTGCAAGTGCTCTAAAACTCTTACATGTACTAAAAGTACTAAAACTACAACTCAAAACTTCACCACACTCTTTTATTATAGGTTTTGGTTTTTATTTTGGAATTTCCTCCTCAAACCAAAGAGAGTGGATGGTTGGCGGGTGCTCTTGTGTGGTTTGCTTCCTCTTTCCTATCAAACATCTATTGTCTTTATCTCCCCTCTTTCTTTTTTGTGTTTGTTACTCTCTTGTAACACCTCTAATTTTTGGCTCTTATGTGACCTTATTGTATTGCAAGTGCCGTAAAACACTTACTAAAACAAAAACCAAAGAGACTTTGGACGTGTGGTTTTAGAGGGTGTACTGTAGAGTACATGTAATTTTCATTCAGAGACCTCTGCTCAAAGACCTGTCCCCATGGTTTTATGCACCCCGCATAATTTAGCAAAATTTGATCATTTTTTGCATAATTTCTGATTATTTTCCTTTATTATCCTTTGTTAAAATTAACAGAATCGCATAATTTAACATTTTTTGCTCAGTTTGCATAATTTAAGAATTTTTCTTGCCTAAAACGACGGGGATAGAAAGACCGCTATCTCTGACCTAAATGTATTGGAACTGCTGTAATACGTTTAATAAAAGATAGTTTGGCTGTTTCAATGTTACACTGGAGAGAGAGAGAGAGAGA